AGTGCTGTGCTCCCTCTCCAGCTGATGATTTCTGGTAATGTTTTGAAAAAGAGCTGCTGTGAAGCTCTCAGAACTGTTCTAGATAGGATTGACTTTGCTTCATCTGTCTCCATACTAATGTTCTCTGTTTGATTTGGTCTTCCTGCTAGAGCTGAACACTGTAAGCGTTGTAGTAATGGATCTGCATTTTTTCCTTTGTCCTTCCATCACGTACAACGGCAGCATTTTCTTGTTTCTGATGACCAACATGTTTTCTTGCTATGTGGATTACACTTGAAACTAGTAATTTATAGAAATGTTTAAGTTCTGCATCCTTAGCAGAAGAAAACTGTACTTGCCAGTAAAGGGGGTGAGTATTAAGTGGAGACAGTTTATAAGCAAGCTAATTCCCTTCAGGTTGATTTTTTTGTTTGTTTGGTTTTGTGGGTTTTTTTTTTTTTTTGTCTAAGACATAGATGTGCAGTCTTTCTAAAGAAGCTTGAGGCTGTAATAATATCTGAGAGTAGTGTCAACTGCATGTTTTCCAAACTGGAAAAAGAGAAAGGACAACTGCTACAGAACTGAAACACATACTGGGTTTTTAATGTCTCTGCTTAAATAATTTGGCTTGTTGTTGGCTACACAGGCAGTGAAATGTAGAAATGTGCTTGAATTTGCCTGTTTAACCTGTAGTGGAAACTGGTTTCATGCAAAGCACTTTGTAATGAAAAACAGATATTCCAGATTATAACATAACACTTGATACTTAGTTTTCCTCTCTACAGTCATGGGTCAGTCTGTAGAGTTTCCCTTTCTGTGTTGCCTTTTGTAGAGCTGGCATAAAAATAGAATTAAACTAAAGGAGAGTGAAGAATGGGAAGTAAGGGAGGGGAAAGCGAGTTTGTAAAAGGCTTATCTCTGGATGGGCATGTTCTCTTCTTATTTTTTCATTGTGATTTGCATTCTTTTGCATATTCCTTTCCTTTTAGAGTTCTTGATGGAGTAGGGCAGGAAGAATATGGCTCCACTTCTTGCACTCTGTGCGGGGAAGTCCACTAATGGAATTCAGTTCATTTGGCCTCAAAGAAGTAAAAACCATACACTCGGTTCTCTTGGTTTGAACCTGGAAAGAAAAACCCCAACAAACTAAAACACCATACAAAATAAAAGTGAGACCTTGAATCTTATGAAAGGGCTTGACATGATTGGAAAGGATTGCCTGTACATGATTTTCTACATCGAAGTATTTATTTAGCCACAGATGGAAATGTCTGAAAAGCTGTAAGATAAACATTCAAGAAAAAAACCTCCACATCCTGACTTTGTAGCAACTAATGAATATGGAAGGAGCTGTAGAAAATAACATGATATTAATGGCATGAATTGTTTGAAATTCTGAGTACTAAAGTCTTGATTGCAGCTTCTTCCTTATGCTTACTTTATGACAATAAAATTTCTTAGACATTACATTTTTGTGAATGGTCAGAAGTAAAACTACTGATGGATCCAAAGTCATAGATGAGTTTGATTCTTTCACACCCTCAACAAATGTGAAAGACATGGTGCTTTTTTTTTTAACTTAAATTCTTAATGGAAAGCTTGTGAAAGTGCAAATGTACATTTACACTGTCAGCCTAGTCAAGTATACAAGAGTTTTTAACAAGAGTTTTCAATGAGTTTTTGCTGTCTTCACTGACATCTGTGCTTCTGTGGCATTGATCTATTAGCCGTACCATTGCTAGCTATGCCTTTGAGAGCAGTATGATGTGCTTATTACAGAGGACACCTCCCTTAAGCTCCACACTCACATGCCTTTCCAGTTCTGCAGGAGGTGTGGATATCCAAACGATGAAAAGAACTACTGTGTAATAGAAGTCATGACATAACATGATTATTTACTAACAATTAGATGAAAATTAATAAAATCTGTGATTAAAAAATGCCTTTTTCACTTATGACCAGTTTTTGAGAGAGGAGTCAGTGAATAATTTATTTGCCATAAGCGTTCAGCTCATTCCTATTTGGTGTTTTTGTGCAATTTTCCTTCTTAGATGTTTATAAAAGAAAAACAAAACAAAAACTCTGAGCCTGAATAAGACAACTGACTCAACTTCCCATATGATAAAACGTTTGTAAAAGTTGTTTTACTATTGGAGCATATATAGCTCACACTAGTGGAGTTTGTACTGGCAAAAGTAGTTGTGTGTCTGCACTTGGAGGCTTTGCTGGCACAGGGACCCAAGTAAAACCCTTGTAAGCAAAGATTAAGCCAAAAGTTTTATTTTGGGGACAGTTCTTTCTTGGCCACTGTGGTATTACTGAACTATCATAAAGACATTATTCCGCTTCAGTGAAGCTAGGATCTAAATTTCTAGTCAAGGTATTTGTTACAAATGAGCATCTCTCTTCAGTGAAATGTGTGCACTGAAAGGCTTGTTCTTCCTTTCCTAGAACAAAGGTGGAAGCTGGTTACTTCATAAGACCAAGCAGTGGCCATCCTGGTTTTGAAAACACATTTTATCATTGGCAAGTACAAACCAGTGAGTCACAAGTTAGTTTTCAACACAGCAAAGATTAGGTTTCAGATGTTTAATCCGTTTACAAGCATGAATAATTTTTTTTTTTTTCCCAAGATGTTAGCTTTCTGAGACCCTACTGTGATTGCAAAGAGCTGTGTCATCTTTTCTTCCTTCAGGTAAAAGAAGAGAGACAGGATATTCTACTGATATTAAACCACTGTATTATTACTGGAGATATGTACTGCATACTTTCCATGGATATTTAGTAGAACCGTTTTGTATAAACGACCTGTGTTGTTTTTCGGGCAAAAAACTTGCACGTGTATGAGATGTATGTGTATCTTAGTCTACAGAGTAATGGACCCGTGTCAGTAAGGGACTCTGGCAGCTCTTACAGAGAGGACAAGCACAGAGATTCCTCTTTAAGCCTCTGAAGGCTTCCTTAATAAGAGGGGGGTTGTATTGATCCACAGTTTCCTCCTAAGTATAAACAAAGGGCAGTTAATCTCATCATGGTTGTTAGTGTTTTCTTAATGGAAAACTGAAATACAGTTACCCTTCACATCACAGTGAATTCACAACTTGTAAGACTTTGCATGTGTATTAGCAAACATTAATACTTAATAAACCCCAATCTTAATCAGATTTTAACAAAAAGAAGAATGTATAAAAGGACCTTGTGGCTATACCAGGGTTACAGTCTGAATGCACATGAAATTTCATAGTATCAGTTTTTCAAAGAAGCAAACATCTGATTTCATACAAAACTTGGAAATTATGAACAAAAATTACTTTGATAATATCTTTAGGGCATCAGAACAGGAAAGGATCCAGAGAAGACATCTAATCCATTCCTTGCTTCAACTAGAATCCTTCATCACTCCTGACAGATGTTTTTCTAACTTCTTACTGTGTCCAGCTGCCAGTGCTTCACTGTACTTTTAGAAATCTATTTTCTGACTTAATCTTGCTGCACTTCAAAATCCCTAGTACCAGTCCAGATTGCTGCAGACATGAAATAGGTTTATTTGACTTCGTTTGCAGTTACCTTTTATGTATTTGAAAACTTAATGTCTCTCCTCAGTCTTCTTGTCTACAGCCTCAGTTCCAGCATCTTTCTTTTAGATGATGTGCTCTAAAGCTTGACCTTTCAGATTAGCAGATCTGAGAAAATTAAAGATTTTTCCTCTACGCTTATGACTACTGTACTGCCAGACACGAGTTCCTTTAAGATGGTGAGCTCTCCTCTCGGGTGCAGGAGGTGTTTGCTCCGAGGACCTGATAGCTGCTCCACAACCAGCAGCGCTAATACCAGTAACACTGTGGTTACTGACATCTGTGTCACCACAGGCTGATGCGATCAGAGGTAGCTTCGAGGCAATGGAGATTAATTTCAGTATGTTTGCATGAGAAACATTATCTTTTTGTTTTACTGGACTTTCTCTAGTAACATAAACAGAAACTATTTGTCTAAGGCAGGATTTGAGAGTTATCTGTTAAATATTATGTGAGAGACAATCACTCTCAGCATCCTTGGAAACAAATAACAGTTCTTGACTAGTTCTAGAAGTATATCAGTCTTGGTCACAAGCGGTATCAGTCAAGAAATCATCTTAATTGTAACTAAGGTAATTGGAGAGCAGTTCAGAATTATGACCCCAGGGGTTGGGTTTCAGGTGCTACTCTGGTAAGGGTGAACAAGAACTTGTGCTGAAGAGCAGTGTAACTCATTTCACAAGACAGCAGATCTTCTAAGGCAAAATATAATCAATTCAGTATAATGACAGCTGAGCTTTCAAGCATACCTGTACAGTTCTGCTGAAGTTAGTGGAATATACAGACACCAGAGGCAGAAGCAATTTATCTTTGAACCTCAAACCTTTGTACCTCCCTGATTAGGTAGCATGAGTAGTTTGAGACTCTTGTATTTTTCCAGCTTTCTTTGTAGCTGTCAACAACTGCATGTACCAAATATTAAGGAAGTAAAAAAATGCGAGGAAACGGTAAAAACACAGTTGTTTTCAAATGCGTCAGCTAATACCAGATATGGTCTGAAAAGAAAAATGGTTGAATTTGGATTTTTTTCAAAACATTTGCTGCTGCTGTTATTACAGTTTGGTGACAAAAAGGGAATGTTAGAAAAGTTAACCATCTCAGAAGTGTAGTTCGGGAAAATAATCCCATGTCTGGATTGCAAAAGGCATTATTTTTTCTTGTTTAAGGGAACTGTATGAGTGGGATCATCAGTTTTGTCCTTGACTACTTGGTTACTGTGGTGATGTGATTTGTGCTGCTGTTGACATAACATGAAATTTAACTACCTGCAGCTCGGAAGTGGCCTTTCTTCTGCTGAACAGAATTTCTTCTTCCATTATTGGTTTGGGTTTTTTGTTTGTTGGGGTTTTTTTTGTGTGGTTTTTTTTTGGTTTTGTTTTTGTTTTGGTTTGGTTTGTTTGTTTTGTTTTGTTTTGTTTTGTTTTTTCTTAATGGAATGTGGTATGTTCACGAAGTAGCCCTGGCTGATATTGACACTTAATGACAGTTGCTGGAATCACAATGTGCAAGTCAGGACAGCCTTTGGGTTTAGGAGTCAGACCAAGACTACATGCAATAATACATAGTAGTTGTTATGTTGGCAAGCCACAGAAAAATGTAATGTCATGGAATAGCTGACACCTGCAAGGAAGAAAATGTCATCACTTTTGAAGCTGTCAGGATCCGTAGTAGCCACCTTCCATTACAAAAGCATCTATCAACAGAGTGAAAAAGCTATCTTGTAAGAAAGAATTAAAGACAGCATACATCATTGTATGAAAATACGTATGTGCAAGCCCTCTTGAAACTGAACCACTGCCACCAATGCACTTGAATGAGATTTACTTTGCCCTAGTGTTGAAGGGGAAGGGAGTATAATTCTGTTTTGAAATACACACCAGAATTTTTTTGTGCATTTGATTTTATTATTTTTTTCCCAACTCTTTTACACGCTGCACCAAATAGATCACAGAGTTCTATTGTTGTAGACTTGTAAATTGGAAAATAAGTCAAGCTAGTAGCTTGGAACATCAGGACCTTGCAGACCTTGGCAAATAGCTTGCAGCAAGAGTGTGAGTATGCTCATGTGTGGTGCTGCTGGAGTCTTCCTCACACAGAATGGTCAGGTCTTCTCTGGTTGTCCTCATTGTTCAACTGTGATAAGACAAACATCCGCAGTGCATGTTTGAACCTTTGGGGATAGTTGCTGGAAATTTAGTAGAGTTTATATGTTTATTTACTTTCCTGAAAGCTGTTGTGATCATTCCAGAGCATTGCAGAATGATGTGATGTTAACACACATAGATGGATTGAATTGGCTTGTCAGAAACTCAATTAAACACGTAAAAAAGAAAAAGCTAAACTGGAATAGGTGTGCACTAAAAGCCCTTTTTGTGAGTGGTAAATCTATAACATAATTTATATTACCTTGTAGCTGAGGGATTGCAGAGGGACAGATTCCCACCCGTCCTTGAGTTTAATCCTGTGCTTTAACTGGAATACCCGTGTTACCAGTCTGGGACAGGTTTGGTGCTACACTCTGTGTGTATGCTTGCCACAAGTGGAAGGTAGAGAATCCCAGGATAAAGTGAAGACACTCATCCCCTGTTACTCCAAGTTTCTTCCTTCATTAACTCATTGGTTTGGAGCCTCATTTGGAATCTTGTCACTAATATTAAAGGCCATAGCAGTTCCACCTTTGTGCCTCGAGGGGCTGCATGCTTCAGCTAAAGTGCTTCCATAGGAAGTTCATTTGGCGCTGTTGGATTCCAGCGTGCTCTCTTCGTAAGGAGGCACTGGATCTGGAGAGAGCTCAATGTGAGCCTCGTCCATGGAAGTCTTCATGGTGGCCTCCTCGTAGGATGGAGGCAAACACACAGTGAGGAACGTGGCATCGGGGAGCAGAGTGGAGTACTGAAAACTCTGCTCACTGTTCCAGGGCAGCACAGAAAGGAAACTGGACACATCGTGCTCGGGCAGGGCCTCAGGGAGGTCGATGCTGAAGACTTGTCCCTGTGGAGCAGGGCGCTGGCAACGACGGTACAGGAAGAGCAGCAGGAATGCCAGGAAGAGCATCATGGTGGCAGGCAATATGATGCACAGAAATGGTTCTATGTCGTCTTTGGTTGAACTTGTCTGCTGTCTGCTCTGTAATCAAAGCAAATAGGTAGTGTGTTGGATTCCTGGACGTCTTAATTGGAGAGAAAAAAATACATTCTCAATCCCCTGCCTCATGATGTGTCAGTTGTTTTTCCAAATTACTTTTTGCCTGCATTGGTGGTGTTCAAGAGATAGGTTTCACAGGCTCATGAATTGTCAAATTCTATTTGCTGGTCCACTAAAACTAATAACGACTAGAGACAAAAGAAATGGAGAAGTTGCAGTGAGTGTGGCTTTCTTGAAAACCCTGTCTCTAATGGGGGAAAAAAACAACAGCCTGGAAATGTATGTCTTCTGGTATGAGATTTTGTTACACTTGGACCAGTCCTCTTCGCAGAAGATTGGTCAAGCTTTTAAAACTTGGTAGAACTTGGCAGAGCAATAGGGCTGGTGATCCATCACCTAGAGTTGTTTCAAACTCTACTGTTTACTTTAAAGAACAAATATTACGGCAGCTATCCCTTTCATCAGGGCCCACTACCCACAATACCTGTTCTTTGGTCTGCTCTAACCTTATAGGCCAGCCCCAAATAAAATGCAGCGTGTCAGGGCAGCCTGGACTAGGGCTGTTTCTTGAGCTTGTTCTGTCAGCTATCCAAGAATCATTTTTCTGTTTAGAACTAGAAAAATAATTTCTGGTGTAAGAGTAATAGTAGCTGTGACTGCTGTGTCAGCTTTATCTCCTGCAAAATGTAGCACAGAAGACCACTGTCCCACAGATTTTGAATTGTGCTGTAGAATTATAAGCTATTTAAAAAAAATTTCCCAAACACTTGTGTTCTTCTGTTATATTAGCTTCGCTTTTAAAATTTAATATATCTTCTTTCCAGTCTCACTCTACCTAACTCTAGCTTCTAATAAATGGATCTCATTCAGAGTGTAGTCTAGAGAGGGAGGGAAACCCAAACTCTAAAATGTTGTTTATTATCAACTCTTTCCCTTTGTAAATATTTGAAGACTGTAATCAGATGGATTTTTCACATTTTTATGGTGACAGTAAACAGGTCAATGGATTAGCTTTCCTTTATTTTGAATGAAGACAGCTTTTCAAGCTAGGAGAACTCGAGTAGTTCTTTCCTCAAAGCATTTGGAAGCAGGGATGCAAACAGGCTGTTTGCAGTAATGGCTTTGTGAAAAGGGCCAGTGGCTACAGCGCCCCCTTCTTAGTCTATGAAAAGTTTCTCTGCTTATTCTTCCAAGAATCATGGTCGCTACAAAAATCACACTATAACTGATGTTCAACTGTTTATCTACCACGTGTTTGTTACCTCTCCACTTTGTTTTCCTATTATATACATGGCCATGCCTAAGAAAGTAAATGGGTTTTGACTTTTAACAAATATTGTAGGGGAGATTTCTGTTTTTTTTCTTGAGGTATTCTGGGTCTGAAGCCAAACACATTAAAGTAATTTTAAAATACATTGAAACCTTTGTGGATTAGCTATTAAGCCTGTCTCTTATACA